CAAAAAACAAAGTGTTGTGTCAAGATCAAATGCAGAAGCAGAATTCAGATCAATAGCCCTTGGAATTTATGAGTTGCTATGGATGAAAATTATCCTAAAAGATTTAAGAATCAAGTAGGATGAACCAATGAAGTTGTACTGTGACAATAAGTCTGCCATTGCAATAGCTCACAATCCAGTACAACATGATAGAACTAAACATGTGGAGGTAGACAAACATTTCATCAAAGAAAAGTTAGAGAGTGGATTGATATGCACTCCCTATGTACCTACTGGAGAACAACTTGCTGATATACTTACTAAAGGTGTTTAGAATCCTGTGTTCAAAAAAACCTTGGACAAGCTGGGAATGAAAGATCTCTTCCATCCAGCTTGAGGGGGAGTGTTGAAGATTCTGAAGTAATTAAGGCAGATTTGAAGCTGATTTGTTGGGAGTAAAAACAGAAAGTCAGATATCCTTTCCTATAAATTAGAACCTAGCAATAATACCTATTTATGTGTAGTTAATAGCTGTCCTAATATAAATATGTAGATGCTGTATATATTCAACAATTCATTATGAAATAAAGAGAGAAGTCAGAATTTAACAACTCTTCATACCTATCTTATGACAAGATTTTAATTTGTTGTTGATATAAGTTAGTACCATGAATTATTGACAACATTTATAAGTGTTGACGTTACTCAAATAAGGTAGTTCAAGATAATTAATATGATCATGTTAATAACTTACAATGAGCCATTAATGATAAATCACTTGATTATAACCTTCTTTGTGTATGTTTTTCAGTTAAATAATAAAAAGAGCTTAAACTATACTTATTTAAAGTACCATTAGTAGATCCTTTAACCTTGACAATTGCTTTATCTTTGTTAAATCTTTACATTAATATTGATGACTTTATAGTCACATAATAATGTTTATATATTTTGATGATAACAGTTAAATAAAAATGTACTAATGATATGATTGCATGAGATTAAGTTTAAACAAGTTTATACAAATATCATTAACAAGCATGAAAAATTAAATGGATAAATAGATCAATAAGTCTAAAATTTCAAGCAAGTGAAGACTTAGTTCTTAAGGATTCATTTTAGTGCTTATTATGCAAATCTTTATATCTTACTTAATAGCACAAATTAAAATGAATTCACATGCTTTACATTGCATTCATTATATGATTGATATGCATTTAGTCAATTCAATATTTACTAGGCTTAAAATTGTTAAAACTAGATTTTAAGTTGAACTGATTAATCTTTTGACCATATAAAATGAATAGATCGACCGCTTGTTTAAGAAGAACAAACACATCTAGAAATTTATAGGAATCGGCCAACTAATTGACTTAACCAATTTAAACCGGTCGATCATTTTAACTGTCAAATAAATATTAATAACTATAAAATAATTAGTTTTTACTAAAAACACACACACACACACACATAAATATATAAAAGTTATTTTAAGATTAAAAACAACTTAAAATCATCAATCCTAAATCATATTCATATTTGTGCAATAAAACATTTATATTTTTTCACAAGAGTATAAATTCTCACACTCATCACACTTGAATATCTTCATATATTCTAAATGCTATTGAGTGAATAATAGAGATATAATCTATAATTGTATTATCTACACTTTAAAAAAGTGGTGCTATATTTCAAACAATTATAAACCTTCAATAGTTTAAGTGAAAAACTTTAGTCATTTGTGAGGTACATCACTAGGGTAAAAAGTTTTAAAGAGAATATTTTTTTAAGTGGTGAAAAAATTTAATGAGGATTTATTAAGGACATTATAATCCTTGACTTGAATGAGTAAATAATACAATATTTAAGATCAATTTTGTACTTAAGGTGTGGATATAGGTTATTGAAACATATTAAAAATTAAGTTTGCAATTTCTATCACTATATTTTTTACTTTAATAACTTTAATTTTTTTGTTAGTTAATTGTATTTAATTAGTTAATTGCAATATTTATTATTATTAGTGGAACATTAATTCACTTTTTTTAGATATTCTTGTTGTCTTAATCCTAAAACAACAAATATCACATTTTAAAATCTATCTAATGTTTTTTATTTTTTTATTTATGGTTTTATATACTTGATTTTTTTTATAAATCAACTTTAATTTTTTCAAGTTATTTATTATTTTAATATTGCTTTAATATTCCTGAGAAAAAAATCAATTACGTGATCATGTAAAGCAACTATAATATCTGCATCCAAGCTTTTCTAGGAGAGAACAAAAATGGGGAAATCCTATTGCTTGCGGAGATGCGTGATCAATTTTCCTTACCACACGATTCGATCCAAAAAAGAAGAAGAAGCAGAGTGTCCTATGCATGAGTCACCAGTCATGCTCAGTGGTGGCAGAACAACACTTCGGTGCAAGATTTCTTTCAATCTTGCAGGGAGTCACATGCTCCACTTGCATCGATTCATGTCCTGTTACTTCACCGTTCTCCCAGCGACCAAATACATTGCATGCCGTTTTGGCGAGGATTTATTCGTTTACAGATAAAAACACCCAACTTTATTACTTTATTCGCAGTTCAGAAAGGAATAAAACGTACATCACCGACACTGAAGATTTATTGATGTGAAAAAAAATAGTTATAAAAAAAATCTAAATTCATTCACTTATAAAAAATAATAAAAATATATTCATCTAAAATACTAATATAAAATGTATCAGATGAAGCAACATGCTCGAGATTTAGAATAATAACCTAAAATATATGTAATTATAAAATATATCTATGCAAATATCTTATTTCCCGTACATTTTATTTTATTACGATACATAAATTTTGTCATAGTTTAAATAATTATAATTTTTATTTTTATGCAAATGAGTTATTGCTTGAAAAACATTATTTATATTAGTAATGACCGGAATATGTTGTCTGAAGTCGAATCAATGTATTATTTAATCTGAATAATATAGTCTAATCATCTAAAAAATATTAACAGAATCATTAATATCTATATATTCATTATGATAATATAAATAGCCGGAGTAATTACCAATACATGGCTTAAAAATACTTACATGACATGTTGTTTATTTAGCTCGGTCTAATAAAATGTCAACATGTATCTTGTAATATTTTCAAATACTTTACTAATACATTATCTAGAATTATAAATATGCTAGTTTAATTATTTTTAAAAAAATTACAATTAAAAAATATAAATGTATATAATTACAAAATAACTTTGCAATATTTGTATTTTAATGGGAATTATAGTATAACTTCTATAGTTTGGATGGTAATAAACGGCAATTTGGATATCTAAACCCGACAATATACAAGTGTTCTATTTTCCCAAAATTACATCTAATATAAATCACTTTTGTGCAAATGTATTATTATACAAAAAAAATAAAATCAAAAGATAATACTTTTAATTTATTTTGTTATTTTTTTTTAAAAACTTGTCTTTAATGGTGTGGCATCTCCTTCCCACACAGGGGTGGTGGTGCCCATAAACGTGGGGTCCTAGTCGCAAATTTAGACGCCACATGGCAACGTATCTCTGCAAGAGTCGAGGATGTTCCAGAAGTTGGTGTGGTAACGCAATTCCAGAGCTGCGGCTAATCGATTTAGATCTGAGCTGAGCTGAGCTGGACAGGGCACCACTCTACGACCACATCTGCATGATATGGCTGGCACGGTAGCATGAAGGATTTTGACTTTAAATTTGAAAAAAAAGAAAAACATAATTTAGTACGTCACTTGTTTGTTTGCTAGATCAACATCAAAATCATCTTAGAGTTATATGATTTTCCATGTCAAAATCACTTTTCTCGCAAACTTTCTTATTGCTCTATTTTAATTCATCGTACATTACCGACGGCATGCAAAGAAACGTAAGATATTCCTCATTATTTTTTTTTTAAAATAAAAATTACTTTTTTTATAAAAAATAACTTGAACCATAAACTTAACAAATTAAATTAAAAAAATCCTAATTAATCTAATATATCTTTTTAAAATTAAAAAAATATTAATTTTAAAATTTTTTAAAATCAAATTATATTTTTTATTTATTATTCGAGTTATCTTATAAGTAATTAAGTTAATTTTGTAACTTTCGTGTAATTTTATTTTAAATTTAAATTAAATAAATTATAGTATCAAGAAATTTGATTTATTTAGCTTAGTTTAATAACTATTTAAATAATTTTTTATGATTTATTTATGTATTTCATATTTAATTTTATTTTCACAATTATGTAACGATGTGTGATATTTTAATTGATTTTTTCTTTAATATTACAACATCACAATTCTACTAAGTAAAATATGGATTATTTTTATTATTATAACTACTAAGTAAATTGTTATTAATTATTATTATTATTGACTTGTTAACCATGTAACTATTTAAGTTGTTAAACCTGATTTCGTTTATGACTTCGATTCAATATTATTTTTAAAAAATTAAGCGGAAACACTGATAATTATTATAAATGATTATTTATTTGTGAAAATGGGGCACCCGAGCGCAGATTATTTATAGAGAAAGGGAATGCTGGGAGTCAATTTTTATTCGTTTCTTTTTCCAACGGCTTTACTCAACCGTTATTACTCCACCCTCAATAACAAGAACACACGCTCTTTAATAAATCATTCTCAAATCCGAATCCAAATCTAGCGGCCACGATGACCTCATGACCGCCGGCTACCCTTTCTCCAAATCGCAACCGTTCGTTTGGAACTGAAACTACAATGAGTTATGACAACGATCAAACGGAAGCCAGACAGCTGCTTTCTCGGGGTTCTAGTGTTAGTGGCGGTAGCTTTAATCAAATGCAGCGGCGACGAGTTTCCGGTAAGCTAGCTAAGCCGGAGAGGCAACAGTCGTTTAGTCGAGATATCGGTCACGCCGCCTCCGAGACCTACTTGCTCACTCGGCTTACCATCACTCTGCTCCGATATCTAGGGTAAAATATCTTCTCTGATTAACATGTTATAGTAATCGTAACTGTGTAGAAATACCTGTGCAAGTATTTGTATGATACTTAAAACAGTTTTTTTCCGATGTTCCTTTAAACATTTTTTTTTTAATTATATTCCCTTAACTGTGTAGCTTTGATAATTAAATTTTGTTTATATATATATATTAAGGATTTATGTTATGAATTTTAAGAACTGTAATTACTGATGTTACACATGTTAGAGCAATAACGGCCTGGTGGTCCAGGCTTGTTGTTATTTAGTTGCTGCAATGATTGATTTGGTTAAAATTGTTAGTATTTCAAGGAGCAGATGATGGAGAAAGAAGATTTATTTATTTATGTTATTTCTTTTCATTTGCATTATGTCATTTTTAATCATATATTTTCATTCAGGGTAGGCTACCGGTGGATCACAAGATTAGCTGCTCTTGGCATTTATGCTGCTCTACTAATGCCGGGTTTTCTTCAAGGTGTGTATTTTTATTGCATGAGTATTAGTTAATGATTATGAGCTTGTGGTTATGAAATGTAAGTAAATTTTTTTCTGTTATTTTAATTCAAATGTAATGCAAGTAAATTTAGAGAACTGAGAATTCTGTATGAAAGAAGAAATTGTTTTCTGTTGTTTTAATTCAAATGAGTTATACCAGTTCAGTTCATGCACTGTAAATGGAAACTGCCCAGCTTTTCATATCTAGCTCTATTTTCGATCTTTTTCACTTGGAAACCCTATTATTTAGCTCAATTGTATTTATCCTGGTTCAATTGTGTGCATTGAGCCTACTTCTTGCATTTTTCGTTGTTTGATACTTTCAAAGATTGATTTTTGTGGTTCCAGTGCCTGTACCAAATAACCTTCACATTTCTTTCAATAATATGTCCAACATGTATCTGACCATAAGTTGGAGATCATGCATTCAATGGGCGGGGAAATCTTAAATATCGTGTTTTTCAATGAGTTGCTGGAAAAGTTGACTTTCAGATTCAGTGAAATCATTAGATTGATGGAAAATAACTTGCCTTTTGATCTCTGCAGTTGCATATTATTATTTCTTCTCAAGTCAGGTTCGACGAAGTATTGTTTATGGTGATGAACCCAGAAACAGGTACTTGACCCTGTGATTTATCATTTTTTTTCATATCTGTGAACTTGAGCTTGTCAGATATCACAGACTCAAAGCTATATTTTTCCTAATGCAACAGTGATTTTTCAGGTTGGATCTGTATTTGCCTAAAAATTTAGATGGACCGAAGCCAGTCGTGGTATTTGTCACAGGAGGTGCCTGGATTATTGGGTGAGCCATTTAAATTTGCTCGTAGACTTTCCTTTAGAGTTCATGATGAATTTGCATATTTTGTGATGATTTCAGTTTATTCATTTGTAAGTTGCTCAAGTCACAGTTTGTAAATACCACATATGAATCATTTTACTATGAATATAGCTACCTGGTACAAAACAGCCTCAAGCAAGCAGGATTTGAGCCAGAGAATATGATACGGCCATATATTTTCTTGCATATCATTTTACATTAAATTGCTGTGCGTTAATGCTGATCTAGGTATAAAGCATGGGGAAGTCTTCTAGGACAACAGTTGGCAGAAAGAGACATCATAGTGGCATGTATTGATTACAGGTATGTGGTTTCAATTTGAGCATAACATATCTTAGTTCATGGTTTTTGTTCTCATAAACCCATTATCGTGGGATGCAAAAATACATAATACATTTCAACTTTCAAGTGACGTATTTATCTATGACAACTTGAAGAGCGTGAGTCTTTTATATTTTTGAAATATTACCTATCCTGAACTTACATTTACTTGCTTACATATTTCTCACTTGTCGTCTACCTCCATCAACCATACTTGTTCGGCATGCTTATGCAGAAATTTTCCCCAGGGAACCATTGGTGATATGGTAACAGATGCTTCTCAGGGGATCTCATTTATTTGCAACAACATTGCTGAATATGGAGGTGACCCTAGCAGGTGATATAATAGTTTCTTTTGTTCTTCCATATTCCTTCTTATCTTAAAACTTTTTCCTTGATTTCTTCTTGCTTGTTATTGAGTAGGATCTATCTAATGGGACAATCAGCTGGTGCACACATTTCTGCTTGTGCCCTCCTGGACCAAGCGATCAGAGAAGCCAAGGGAGAGGAGAGCATCTCCTGGAGTGTCTTCCAGATAAAAGCATATTTTGGTTTATCTGGAGGGTAAGCTTTCATCTCTATCTATTTCATGAATCTCGTGGAAGTTCACTAAATTCGAGGAAAGCATTATTTACCATTTACAAGTAGAATGTTTTATTGAGAATGAGTAGAGTCACTGATCTAATCTCTGTTTCTTTCAACCAAATTTACTATCTACTGGTTGGTTTTCTTATAATGAGAAAAAAATATTTGTTTTTTTTATGATATTACCAGATTGTGGGAATCAGTGATAGTGTTTAAACACCTTCTCAGCTCAATCAGCTATTTTTGTAACTTCTTTGGCTCTGTAGACATTTCAACATTCTCATGATGATGAGCAGTTATTAGCTCTGCCAGTTCCAGTAGTTATTAAACATCTGTGCGCTGCTGCTCTGGACAATAATGGTACATAAACCAGCACGAGGATATCAATCTACCAAATTTCCTTTGCAGACTTTGTTCTCTGCTGTGTTATCATCTTGTTTTCTTCATTTCGAACTTTGGTGATCTTATTTTATATACTATTAATCAAAATAAGATGGAAAATAAAGTGGAATGTCTTAGAGAAAACATCATCTAGTTTTGCACAAATTACTCACGGATCATTTGCAGTTTCGATGATTGAAGAGGATTTTATGATTTGACAGTTATAATTTGTTTTTTTCAGTGCCCTTTTTTTTTTATCTGCTTGTAATGGACATTATGTTGTATAATCCACACATAGATCACTTGGAAACACTGAACAGGTACAATTTATGCAAATTAGTCGATCATTTCAACAACCGTGGCCTGTACCGTGCTCTTTTTCTAAGGTACACTCAGAATATTGGCTCACTGGATGCTGATCACTGTTTAGTCATGAATTATACTAGTATGCATTTATTGCCTAAAGTTCATTATCCAGAATAAGTTTTTTTCTGACTTGTGGTTACAGCATAATGGAAGGAGAAGAATCCCTTGAACGTTTTTCTCCTGGAGTTAGAATAGAGGACCCAAGCATTAGAAATGCTGTTTCTCTTCTGCCTCCTGTTATTCTCTTTCACGGAACAGCGGATTATTCAATACCATCATTTGCCAGGTTAGAATATCCTGTTTTTGACATCAATGATGTGCTTCATATTAAAAAGATATATAAGTGGTTTAGTCCAGTGCTTTGGAATCTCAGTACATAAGGTATATCAAGTTCAATACAATTCGTCCCATTCAAAGTTCCTTGATGTGTCAGATATTCATACAATTTCAATTTTGAAAATTATGAAGAAATGAAATTAGAGTTGAAATTAGCTCATAGTCTGTTTGGATTTAAATAATCTAGTGAGAAACTTTGCATTAATCTCAAGCTCTTGGACAATTCACTTCATTGTATTTACATTTAAGCTCCTTTTTATTTTTTTTTTCAGTGAAGATTTTGCAGCTGCTCTTCAAAGGTTAGGAGTACAAACTGAGCTGATTTTGTTCGATGGGAAAACCCATTCAGACTTGTTTCTTCAAGTAAGTGCTGAGCTGGATGTCATGTTTTATAGTTGTTATGATTGGTTTTTACTTGTTCTCAGCCAAATTGTGAATTTTTTCTAGTCAATCAAAATCCCACTACCACTTCAGTAGATGAACAGCTATTCTGTTTTTTTATTTTTTTATTTTTTAATCACCTTCAATAAGAAGCTGGTCAGTCAGGGTAAGGATAAAACTGAATTTCATGCGAACTGGCTTAGTCAGGGTAAGGATAAAACTGAATTTCATGCAAACTGGCTTAGCATCATGATGCTCGGGCATGTAACAAGTAATTTACTTAGAACTGGCTGTCAGAACTCATTTTGAGACACCTAGAATCCAACACACCCTAATGATTGGGTTGTCACCTTATTCAGGATCCTCTAAGAGGTGGTAAAGATGCCATGTTTGACCATCTGGTCGCTGTGATACATGCTGGTGATAAGGAAGCTCTTGCCAAGGATGCTATGGCACCTCCAAGAAGGCGCCTAGTTCCTGAGGTTTTGTTAAGAATGGCCAGTTATATCAGCCCATTCTAAGTCTGAACTTCCATGCTTTCAACTCCACTAGGTTTTTTCCCACTCTTATATCAGAAACGGCCATTTCTGTTGATGCACATCCTATTATTTATTATCGTCATTGGGGGTATATATATGTATATATATGCATTCTTCGCAGGGCCTCTCACTGTATTTATTTCTGGGGTGCTCGTATGCTCCCTTCAACTGCCTGTAATTTATTATTTTTAATTAGAACACTTGAATATTGAATCTCCTTAATTAGCTATGTTGTCTATGATTGTTATTTCTCTCTTAAAAATATATAAAAATAATGTTTTTTTTTAAAATTTTTTGAAATTATTTTTATATAAAACATAAAAAATATTAATTTAAAAAAAAATTCAAATTTTTAGAAACTGTGTTTCCAAACACGGTTTTTACCTCTTCATGCCCAATAAATTCACCTCTCCAGCAGTCTTCTCGTGAAACCTCAGCAATCTTCTCTAAGAGCACCTCCAATGAGAAATGAAAGAGACAAATGAAAAAAATAGCTTTTTAAATAGTATAAATATAGCTTTTTAAATTATGTGTATTCCAATAGTAAAAAACTATTTAAAAAAATCATTTATATTTTAATATATTTCATGTTAAATTAATTTTAATATAATTATATAACTAATTTAGATATTTTATATATAATATAATTATGATGTTATTAATTATATAATTAATATGAGTAATATGAGTAATTTATAAAAGTAATATAAAATTAATGAAGTAATATGAAAGCTAAAAAATATAATTTAAAATTAAATTTAAAATTTATTTATATGAATATTTTTAATTTTAATTTTTATATGTTATTGTTGAAAATTTAATTTTTTAAAAGTAAATTCAAATTTAAACTTTGAAAAAATGACCGTCAACATTTTAAATTTTTAAATTTTAAATTTTAAAAAAATAACTGCCAACATTAAATTTTCAAATTTTAAATTTTGAAAACATAACCGCCAACATTTTAAATTTTAAAATTTTAAATTTTGAAAAAATTACCGCCAACATTATAAGATTTTACAATTCGAAAAAATAGTCCATCTATAAATATTCTCATATATCTTAACATTTTTTCTCATCATTTTCTTCTCTCCAATCTTTGTTATATTTCATTAAAATTCATCATGAATCATTCTAATTTTAATTTTTATGATGCTTTTGATTTTGATGATGACACTCCTGTGTTGGCTTTTCAAGTTACTACTGTTGTGGTTGCTGAAGAAGAATCGAATAATCAAGGGCGGAGAATAGGGTATCGTGACTCTATTCTTGGTCACAATATTGTCAATCATAATAGAAAGGAAGGTGAGTTAAGGTTATATAATGATTATTTTTGCAGAAAATCCTAAATTCACTGAAAGTCAATTTCAAAGAAGATTTAGGATGAGTCGTCGCCTTTTTCTTCGGATCGCAAATGCAATGGAAGTTCATAATCTATATTTCAAACAAAGGACAAATGCTCTTGGTGTTCTTGATTTATCTTGCCTTCAAAAGATAACTGCAGCTCACAGAATACTTGTATATGGTATTCCTGCAGATCTTAATGATGAATATCTTCAAATTAGAGAAACCACTGCGATAGAAAGTTTTAGAGCTTTCGTCAAAACAATCGTAGAAGTTTTTGGTGATTGGTATCTAAGGGTACCAAACAAGGCCGATATTAGTCGATTATTATCAATTGGAGAGTAGCGTGGGTTTCCAGGGATGTTAGGGAGCATTGACTGTATGCATTGGAAATGG